CCTCAAAACAAAAAATCTCAATATTGATTCTTCCTAACCGTGAGCATGGAATGTTTCTCCATCTGTTTGTGTCGTTTCTTATTTCGTTGAGCAGTGGTTTGTAGTTCTCCTTGAAGAGGTCCTTTACATTCTTTGTTAGTTCTATTCCTAGGTATTTTCTTCTCTTTGTAGCAATTGTGAATGGGAGTTTGCTCTTGATTTGGCTCTCTTTAAGTCTGTTTTTGGTGTGTAGGAATGCTTGTGATTTCTGCACATTGATTTTGTATCCTGAGACTGCTGAAGTTGAGCCGGGGGTAGGGAGTGAAATGCCAGATATAGGTGACAGGGATGGAGGCAGCAAACCACATTGCCATGTATGAACCTATGCAATAATCCTGCATGTTCTGCACATGTGCCCCAGAACCTAAAATGCAATAGTATACACATATGTATATAAACAATCTCATACCCATTAAGTAGACACTCCTCATTTCCCCTCCCTCCAGTCCATGACAACCATAAATCTTTCTGTCTCTATGGATTTTCCTATTTTGGACATTTCATATAAATGGAACCATGCAAGGAGCAACTTTTTGTGTCTAAATCATTTCACATAGCACAATGTTTGCAAGGTGCATCCATGTTGTAGCAAGTATCAGCACTTCATTCATTTTTATGACTGAATAAAATTCCTTTGTAGGATATACCGCCTTTTGTTTATCTAGTCATTAGTTGATGGTGTGCCTACTTTTTGGCCATTATGAATACGCTTTTTTTGAACATTCATGTACAAGTTTTTGTTTGAACAAACGTATCTAATTCTCTTAGCTATAGCCCCAGGAGTAGAATTGCTGGGTCATATGGTAATTCTGGGTTTAACTTTAGAGGAACTGCCAACTGTTTTCCACAACTGCTGTATCATTTTATATTTTCACCAGCCAATATATGAGGCTTCCAATTTCTACAGTACTCATGATTGGGTCTGTGTGTGTGCTAGTTGTTTTTTTGTTTTTTTTTTTTTTTTCATTTATTTTATTGCATTTTAGGTTTTGGGGTACATGTGAAGAACATGCAAGACTGTTGCATAGGTACACACGTGGCAGTGTGATTTGCTGCCTTCCTCCCCATCACCTACATCTGGCATTTCTCCCCATGCTATCTCTCCCCAACTCCCCACCCACCACCGTCCCTCCCCTATTTCCCCTCAACTGACCCCAGTGTGTAGTGCTCCCCTCCCTGTGTCCATGTGTTCTCATTGTTCAACACCCGCCTATGAGTGAGAACATGCGGTGTTTAATCTTCTGCTCTTCTGTCAGTTTGCTGAGAATGATGGTTTCCAGGTTCATCCATGTCCCTACAAAGGACACAAACTCATCGTTTATAGCCACCCCAGTGGGTATAAAGCAGCATCTCGCGGTTTTAGTTTACATGCCCCTAGTGACTCATGGTACCGAGCAACTTTTCATGTACTTATTGGCCTTTTGTAAATATTTGGAGAAATGTCTACTTAAGTCTCTTCTGTGGCCATTTGGCCATTTTTCAATGAGGTTGTTTGTGTTTTGTTGTTGAATTATAAGAGTTTTCTTCTCTTTCCTTTTTTGTTTTTTTTTTTTTTTTGAGACAGAGTCTTGCTCTGTCCCCTAGGCTAAAGTGCAGTGGTGTGAACATGGCTCACTGTAGCCTCAGCTTGCTGGGCTCAAGAGATCCTCCTGCCTCTGCCTTCCATGTATCTGGGGCCACAAGCTCACAGCACCCTGCCCTGCTAATTTCTTTAAATTTTTTGCAGAGATGGGGTCTCACCATCTCAGGTTAGTCTTGAACTCCTTGGCTCAAGCAATGCCCTCTCTTCAGCTTCCCAAAGTGTTGGAATTACAGACATTACCCACTGTATCCAACCTAAGAGTTCTTGATATGTTCTGGATATTAGACTCTTGAGTAGAAAAAATACACAAACTGTTTTCCCCTCTGTTCTCATACCACAGCAACAGTCAACACAGAAGACGTCTGTAATCAACGCAAGCAATCTATTCTGCAGCAGATATAAACTGGGTATTCTCCAGTTCAGTTCAGATGCTGTCTACGTGGATACGGTGTCAGGTTTCACAGGTTGAGGGCTCAGTCCCAGAAGATCATCCCCTTCCTCCCACCAGTCACAAGTCCAGGCCTCTGGAACTTCTGACTAGTCACTTCAAGTTGGGGTTCCCAGGACCTTTGTTGGGTTTGATTAATTCGTTAGGACTGCCCACAGATCTCAGGGAAATACTTATGTTTACCGGTTTATTACAAGGGATAAGGACACAAATATACAGCCAGAGGAAGAGATGCATAGGGCTAAGTCTAGAAGGGTCCTGAGTACAGAAGCTTCTGTCCCCCAAGAGTTGGGGTATGCTGCCCCTCCCATCACACGGATGAGTTTGGATTTTTTTGTTTTTGTATTTTTCTGTAGACATGGATGAGTTTTGTTTACCTTCCTGTGTTTAGCTCTCTGGAAGCTCCCCAAACCCTGTCCTCTTGGACTTTATAGAGACTTCATTGGATAGGCATGGCTGAAGCATGGACAACCATGTAGAAATGTGATAAGAAAAAAGGGTACGATCAAGGCTGGACGCAGTGGCTCACGCCTGTAATCCCAACACTTTGGGAGGCTGAGGCAGGCGGATCACCTAAGGTCAGGAGTTCGAGACCAGCCTGACCTATGTGGTGAAACCCCGTCTCTACTAGAAATACAAAAATTAGCCAGGCATGGTGGCAGGCGCCTGTAGTCCCAGCTACTCAGGAGGTTGAGACGGGAGAGTTGCTTCAGCCCGGGAGGCAGAGGTTGCAGTGAGCCGAGATTGTGCCACTGCACTCCAGCCTGGGCAACAGAGCAAGACTCTGTCTCAAAAAAAAACAAAAAAACAAAAAAAAAGAAAAGAAAAAAAAAACAAAAACAAAAAAAAAGAAAAGAAAAAAAAAGAGGTACGATCTAATACCCTTTTTTAGATCTTACCTAGACTGGGGATACCCAGGAGGTCTGTCTGTTCAGATTCTTCTTGGCCTCTCTGTGCACCATTCCTTCACCCAGGATATGGGCAGGACTCTCTCTGGAATGAGGGTTTCATGATCTACAATCCAACAAGATAGGTCAGATTTTGTGTTTGTTTGTTTTCTTGTTTTTGAGACAGCCTTCTGAGTAGCTGGAACTACCGATGTGTGCTACCATGCCTGGCTAGGTTTTGTAGAGACAGACCTGTTGCCCAGGCTGGTCTTGAACTCCGGTGCTCAGGCCATCTGCCCGACTGGGCCTCCCAAAGTGCTAAGATTACAGCATGAGCCATCGTGCCCAGTCAGATGATTTCTTTATAGCCAGTTTTATATGGAAAGGATGGGGAATTAGAGTAATATTTTTAGGTTTTACTGGTTTGGGGGAAAGGAGGGGCTGGTTTGTATGACTGCCTTGTGAAAAAGAGATTCTAGTTTTTATGGCTGGCCTCAGGGGAGAATGAGGGACCAGAGACAGAGGGGCAAGAGAAGGTCAGAGAGACAGTTTTGCTTCTGAGGCCTAAAGTATCCAACCTTATAACAAATGACTGTAACGAGGGTTAGGGGGGTTATAGGCCAGGAACTATGGGAAAAAAACATGTATATGTATATATCACAACCCTTATCAAATACGTGATTTGCAAGTGTTTTCTCCCATTTCTGTGGGTTGTCTTTTCACTTTCTTACTCGTGTCCTTTGATGCACAAAGATTTTTCATTTTGATGAAGTTCAACTTATTTTTTTCTTTGGTTGCTTGTGCTTTTGGTGTCATCAGTAGGAAACTGTTGCCTAATCTAAAGTCATAAAAATTTTCTCCTATGTTTCTTTCTAAGAGTTTATAATTTAGGCTCTAATATTTAGGTATTCGATAAATTTTTAATTTTTGTATATGGTGTGTAGTAGAGACTCAAATTCATTCTTTTGCATGTGATAGCCAATTAGCTCAGCACCATTTGTTGAGAAGATCATTTTTTCTCCGTTGAATGGTCCTTACACCCTTGTGAGAAATTAGTTGACTACAGATGGGTTGACTTCTAGACTCTCAAGTTTATTCCATCATACTGACTTCTTATTTTAACTTAATGTCAATCACTTTTATACTATTCTATTTGGTATTTTATCTTCAAAACTTTCAAAATTATTTATCATTTATTTAATTGATTGAAAGTGAGCCAGAGGCAAATTTGCTGCCATAAAAGTTTACTAAAAATCAAGAGAAATGGCTTCATAGCACCGTTACTGCAATGTTCCCATTATGTACATTATTATTAGAATCATTTCCTAAGTTATAAATTTATGAAGCTTGGGGAATCCATTTCAATATATCAGAAAAGGAAATCATGTTAATAAAAATATCATTAGACACAATATAAATATAAATGAATACATGAAGTAACAATTTTTAACATTTAACTCTTTTACAAACTTTTGTACAATAAGATTAAAATAAGACAATTGTGCATACAAGTTTCCCAATGGATCTGTTCATCTTTATTGCAAGGGTTGCTAGGTCATAACTGCATGGGAATGTGGTTGTTCTGAATATATTCTCACTATCGAAGACAGTTGTTAGGGACAAATAGGCACCAATAAAGACAAATAGGGACCCCCATTGGCTCCTTACATTTCATTGAATAAAGCACAATTTCCCTGCAATGCTTCCCCATTCTTCTTTCCCAAATATTATTCTCTTTCTCTCTCAATCTCTCTCTCTCTTTTGAGACGGAGTCTTACTCTTGTCACCCAGGCTGGAGTGCAATGGCATGATCTTGGCTCACTGCAACCTCCGCTGCCCAGGTTCAAGCTATTCTCCTGCCTCAGCCCCCTGAGTAGATGGGATTACAAGCACTGCCACCACGCCTGGCTAATTTTTGTCTTATTGGTAGAGACGGGGTCTCGCCATGTTGGCCACGCTGGTTTCGAACTCCTGACCTCGCGATCCACCCGCCTCAGTCTCCCAAAGTGCTGGGATTACAGGCGTGAGCCACTGTGCGCAGCCCTTTCTCTCTTTTTCTTAAGAGGCAGGGTCTTGCTGTGTTGCCCAGGCTGCTGTAAGCCATCCTCCCTTCTCAGCCTCCCAAGCAGCTGGAACTATAAGTGTGTGCCACGGTTCCCAGCTTTATGATTTTGTTGTGTCACAATTCTCTTATATAATTAACATATCTTTGGGAGAAGCATCACACACATACAAAAAGTAGCCAACCTTCACCTGATTGGCATTTCTGAGATTAAAAGACCCATGAGAGACAATAGATTTTTCTCTTCCCAACATTCAAGCAACTCCCTTCTAATTGTTTGCTAATTGTGATATGTGAAGTTTGCGGGTGTTTCTAAATTAGGGACTTCCTTAAAAGAGTCTGTGTTTCCAGAAGATTTGCTACTTGAGATATCAACCCATTATTAGGATGTCTTCTTTACAGTCCTCCTGTCCGTTTTAAGATCCTTTACTAAGACAGCTTGAAGGTGACCATGCATGGTCTATACCTCCATCCCCACCCAAAACAATCTTCTTTTGTACAAACATAAAAACGTGCCTCAGCTGATTAAAACATACGGCACATGCTTAGATATTAATGCTTTGGAGAGATGGTTTGGGGTCACAATCCTACAGATACTCTCATTAGGAGGTTCTACAGATCATGGCCTGATGGAAGAGCTTGTGTTACTTGAAAGTAAACATCAAGGGAAAAGAGTAGAAAAATCGATCACTAGCACCATTGTCAACTCAAATGATTCAAGTAATAAAGGATGTTGATATAAAAACGTTTGATCCTCTCACCATGCTTTTTAGGATCTACTTTCTGCTCTCCTTTTGTCTAAAAGTTATAGAAAAACATTGACACTTTGGATGCTCCCAGGCCCTGCAGTTCTGTTATTCCCAGTAGGGGACAATGTTGCATTTAAAACTGCACCAGTGGCTGCATGTCCCTGGCTGGGCCTGTGTTCCTTCTCTATTTTCAAGACCTAGATCTTTTTAAAGAGTCGTATATAAATATTTTTTCTCTAAACTCTAAGAAAGCGAGAGCTGAAGAAGAAAAAGACTCGAAGGATTGTTTCTTATCCTCTGTCTTCAGCAGAGATACTTCATCGTGTGTGACATTCCAGGAAGTTGCTATCAAAGTCCCAAAGTGCGAAACGCATCTCGTAAGTCATCAACCTCGTACAGGGGCTGCGGAGAAAGAGAGACGCAAACTGAGTCAACGCCTTCAAAACTGGGTTGGGGATTGGCGGGGCCTGGGAGGCTTCTAAACTGAGTGGATGACTTTGTAACATTTTGGAAGAAAGTAAATTGGGAAAGAGGTTTGTTTTTTTGTTTGTTTGTTTTAAAAAATAAATAAATAAGTTTTTTAAAAAGGGAGATAAAAGAACAAAAGAATTCTGACCAGGAAAGAAGCACAACCCTGAGGAGAGACAGAAATTTAAAAACGCGAAACAACAAAAGAAAGAAAACGGAGAGAAAGGAAACTTAGCAGAGGGCTCTGAATGGTGAAACAGCGGAAGAAAAAACTGATGTGGAGGAGAAATAAAGTTTCCTTTTTTTTTTTTTTTTTTTGAGACGGAGTTTCGCTCGTTACCCAGGCTGGAGTGCAATGGTGCGATCTCGGCTCACCGCAACCTCCGCCCCCGGGTTCAGGCAATTCTCCTGCCTCAGCCTCCTGAGTAGCTGGGATTACAGGCACGCGCCACCATGCCCAGCTAATTTTTTGTATTTTTAGTAGAGACGGGGTTTCACCTTGTTGACCAGGATGGTCTCGATCTCTTGACCTTGTGATCCACCCGCCTCGACCTCCCAAAGTGCTGGGATTATGGGCTTGAGCCACCGCGCCCGGCCAGAAATAAAGTTTTCATTAGATGAAAATTGAGAATGATTAAACAATAAGAAAACATGAGATATATACGAAGCTCCAAGACAAGACTATACAGAAATAAAGAAAATTTAAAAAACAAAGAAGCCCCTTACCAAAAGGATGCGCCGAAGCTGTCTGGAGAGACGAACTGAATTTTCATGCAGCCCTTCCCAGGCTTTGAAAGTTCTTTCACCATTTTCTACGAAAGTATTCCAGCAGTAAAAATAATCTTAAAAAAAAAAAAATGGTGACGATATGAGGCTGGAAGGTAGTTCAGGTTCCAAATCGAGGGGAAAGAAAGCAAGGCCTGGCCCCATTTTCTCATTTCCTCAGGGCCTTGTCTCCGAGTCATTCAGTTTTTTATTTTTAATTTATTTATTTTACTTTGGGCATTTTTCTCTACTTTTTTTTTTTTTTTTTTTTTTGAGATGGAGTCTTGCTCTGTCGCCAGGCTGTAGTGCAGTGGCATGATCTCAGCTCACTGCAACCTCTGCCTCCTGGGTTTAAGCAATTCTCCCGCCTCAGCTTCCCGAGTAGCTCGGACTACAGACGTACGCCACCATGCCCAGCTATTTTTTGTATTTTTAGTAAAGACAGGGTTTCACCACGTTGGCCAGGATGGTCTCGATCTCTTGACCTCGTGATCTGCCCACCTCGGCCTCCCAAAGTGCTGGGATTACAGGCGTGAGTCACCGCGCCTGGCCTTTTTCTCTCCTTGTAACCTTTAATTTCGGCTCCAAAAGTGAACCAGAATCCCCGCCCACGTCTTCCGCTCAAGCCTCCCCGCGGACGGATCGATGCCTCCCCGCGGACGGATCGATGCCTCCCCGCGGACGGATCGATCCCTCCCCGCGGACGGATCGATGCCTCCCCGCGGACGGATCGATGCCTCCCCGCCGACGGATCGATGCCTCCCCGCGGACGGATTGATCCCGCACCGCAGTCCCGAACGCGGGCGGCCGCGCTGCGCCTGCGCGGAAGGCCCTCCCGCACCTTTGAAGGTCATGATGGCGATTTGCACCCCAGCGCGGTGCAGCCGCCGCAGCCCCTCGGGCTCAGCTTTGCGGTCCTCACAGAAGTAGAGGCGCGCAGTGAAGATCCTCAGGCTGAGGTTGGGGTTCCCACGCAGAAAGTCGGCCACGTGTCGGGCACAGTCGTAGCAGGGGCTCCAGGAGGTGAACCAGGTGACGCGGTAGCACCGGCCAGGGTCCAGGTCCCAGTCCGAGATGTAGCGGAGGAAGAGCAGCTCCACGTGGCAGCCATTCTGGGAGGACAGAGAGGACCCCGCGGAAAGTCACTGACTTTTACTGCGATTCTGGTCGCCTTACTCACTCTCTCCTACAGGGATCTTGGGGATGCTTGCAGCCATTGACCTTGTGTTAGGGAAGCGAAGCAACTTGCTCAAAAGAACACACCATTACGGGGAGCTGAAGCCTTGGCGGCACTAGTCCTACGGAGTGAAGGAAGGCTCTGTGTTTGGGTGTCATGAGGAAAATGAAGTGCGCTGAGTTGGAAGGGGCATGACACCACCTCAGTGAAGATTGGTGTTTATGAAGTTGCTTTTTGCACCTTTTGAGAAGAAAAATGACTGGCAGTGCCCGTTGATGTAACGTTGTGGAAATATACCTGGACCACTAGGTGGAGGTAGGACAGTTTATGAGGACCAGCTGGGAGGATCTGAAAACAGGAGGTCGATTTTGGTAAAGCAGACAGATAGATTGGGTGTTGTAAGAGAAGTAATGGGCACTGCCATGAGAAGTAAATGAAAGCGCTTGGTAAAATCAACGCCTTCTGAAATAGAATGTGTCATGTCATCAAATAGGAAGGAGATTGGGATATACTCATACAAATTTAGGCAAAGAAGATTGCATGGTAATGTGACTATCAAACAATGAACCAGACGATGACCTTCCACCCCATGGATGCTTCACTGAGATTTCACCAAGACTAGAAGACACAGCATGTTAGGAGAGAGGAGATACCCATGGCAGAACTTTATGTAAACCCATCTGGATCTTGGTGAAGAAGTCTCTTGGAAATGAATTATCCCAGATAGCTGAAAGATCAATTTAATTAATCAATCAGCAGAGGCTTCTCTTAGTTTTCTGGGAATCACCATGTTGAATATTCACTGGCCTACGATTCATGTGAGTAGGAGGGAAATCATTTGGAAAACAGAATTGAGTCACTGTTAATTTTTTCCCAAATTATTCTTCCTTAATTTTCAAAAATGCTTAAGACACAATTTGTTTTTCACATTTAAAATGTTTGCTTGAACAAGCTGATAATACTGTCCCAAATCAAAATGCTTTCAGCTTGATTAATCTCAAAGGCAATTCAGATGCTGAGGAAAGAGGGTGGAAAATTTGGGAGCAGTTGTTCCTGGTATTGAAGGAAGGTGGGGCATTAGGGTGCCCAGCATTACTGGGGAGGAATTAAATCACATATTTTGGGCCATGTCTAAAATGGGTGCATGGACATGGAAAAAGAAAGAAAAAAGGGATTTGAGGAATGTAATAGAGACACAAATGAAAAAAGGATGGAAGTCATACCATCAACAGGTGCCTCTAAAGCACTCACAGTTGACCATTAAACTGCTTGCAAAGCCGTGTTTAACTGATACCTTATTGCGAAGATGACCAAAGTCCAGTGAAAAGGAAGTAGCACTGTCCCGCCTCTTCACTACATAGCACAGGTAGGTCTCATGCCGACCCTTAGCCCAGCGGACGTTTTTGAAATGGTAAAGGAACTTCTTCTGGTTCATCAAGAGGCTGTGGGTGAGAGAATGGAGAGGAAATGCAAGAGAACAGTTCCTTACCTGGTCACTCTGTATTTTCCTTCAACTTTTTAAAGAAATTATTACTTGGGCTAAACCAGAGAAGATTCTCTGGATTCCTCTGCTGAATGCCTAAGCCATACCCAGCCCTACTGAGCGATCCATCATAAACTCCTTTTCCTGCTTGTATTTAAGGCCAATTGAGAGATACTCATCAAGGACCCCAAACCCTTACCCATAAGACGGTTACCTCCTGCCACTGTCTTCTAGATGCTAATGACTTGGAGTTACAATTAAATTTGTTCTTCAACAAGAAAACAAAACAAAAAATAAAATAAACTTCTTCCTCAGTCCCATAACTATATTTTCAGATTTTTCCCTCCAGCCTCTACCTAAGTGTCCAACTTGTACCTCAAACTCAAAATGATCAAAACAATACTCCGCAACTGCCCCCTGTCCTAATCTGCCTCTCCTCCTGATTTTGCCATCTCAGGTAAGCCGGCTAGCAGCTTGGAACCATCCTTGATTCATTTCTTCTTTCTCAGTCCTCCTAGTTAATTATCTAAATGTGTTGATTCAAACCCCCAAATATTTCTTGAATTTATATCTTCTCTGTTTCCTCTGCTCTCTGCTTTGGTCCAAGCCCTCATCTTCTTCCACCTTATCTGTTGTGCTGGCCTCTTAACTGGGCTCTCTGCCTCCAGTCCCTCCAAAATAACATTCTCCACACTGTCACCACCATGATCTCACAAAAACCCAGGTGCACCATGCCATCCCCATGCTGAAGACCCCCGATGGTTCTCTTCTGCCCGCAGAATAAACTCCAAACTCTTTAATGTGGTGTTTAGGCCACTTTTTACAGTTGGATCTCAACCTAAATTTCTCTTTTTTTTTCTTTTTTTTTTTTTTTGAGATAGGTTCTCACTTTGTTGCCCATACTGAAGTACAGTGGCATGATCTTGGCCTACTGTGGCCTCAACCTCCCAGGCTCAGGCAAATCTCCCAGTCTCAGGGGATCCTCCCCCATCAGCCTCCTGGGTAGCTGGGATTACAGGCACTCGCCACTATGCCCAGGTAATGTTTATACTTTAGTAGAGATTGGGTTTCACCATTTTGGCCGGGCTAGTCTCAAACTCCTGATCTCAGGTGATCCGCCCACCTCAACCTCCCAAAGTGCTGGGATTACAGGCATGAGCCACTGCACCTGGCCTATTTTTTAATGTGTAAGAGCAATACCCAGCCAGGTATTGCTCTTATACATGGTGAAACTCCATCTCTAATGAAAATACAAACATTAGCCGAGCATGGTGGTGGGCGCCGGTAATCCCATCTACTAGAGAGGCTGAGGCAGGAGAATCACCTGAACCCAGGAAGTGGAGGTTGCAGTGAGCCTCGGTCGTGCCATTGCACTCCACCCTGGGCAACAAGACCAAAACTCTATCTCCAAAAAAAAAAAAAAAAAGAATAATATTTGATTGCTGTCAAACTTGAATACCATGGAAAAATAGAAGAGCTCTAAATTTTAAAATATTAAAGATGTTTTAATCTAGAATATCAGTGTCTAATAATCATCATTAGACACAGTGTCTAATGACAATGACTGTTAAGATTCTTGTGTTTATTCCTCTTGTCTTTCTATGGTACATATTTACGCGATTTGGATTATACTGATTGTATGTGTGATTTTGCACTCTGCTGCTTTTTTAACTAAGCAGAATAATCTAAATAACTCGCTATGTGGTGCCTGCATAGTGACTGATTTCTCTTCTGTTTTCTGGCTCCTAGCAGAGTGTCTTGCATATCAGAAGCACTAACTTGAACAGTATTTGTGGAAATACTCTGGCAACCCAAGCCTTTTTAAAGAAATCAAGAGTCCCCGTTGTAGCTGCAAACAGCAACACAAGCTGTACAGTGTGGTGCCTGCTTTTTGTCCCTAGACTTTTCCAGAAATGCATTTATCCGATTTGTGGAGCTAGTGCTGTCACCTAATGGCAGGGGGCAGAAGTGCAGAGAATTTGCGAGTAAAGGGATCAGGAATTTGAATAACGTTTGCTAGCAAGAGAAATGAAACTTTTCTTACTCATTATTTTTTCTTACATTGAGGTATAATTTACATAAAGTTAACTTCACCCATTTAAGATGCCCAATTCTACGAATATTGTTGGGTGTAAACACCCCAAATGGCTGCCACAGTCAGGATACAGAACCTGAATCACCACCCTTACCCCACCAGAGTTTATTCCTCCCCCTTTGCAGTCCTTCCCCTCCCCACAAGGCAACCACTGATTTGCTTTCTTTTTTCCCTTTTTTTTATGGAGAATGGGGTTTCACTGTGTTGCCCAGGCTGGTCTTGAACTCCTGAGTTCTAGAAATCCTCCCACCTTGGCCTCTTCAAGCGGTGGGATTAAGTAGGAGCCACTATGCCTGCCCCGATTGCTTTCTATAAGTTACTTTCATTTTCTAGAATTTTGTACAGCATACATTCATCTCTTCCTTCATGTCTGTCTTCTTTCATTTAGCAGAATGACTTTGGGATTCATCCCAAAGCAGTGTGTTCCTTTGTACTGAAGGGTGGTATTCTATTGCATGGATATAGCACATTTTGTTTATTCATTCACCTATTGATGGACGTTTGGATAGTTTCTACTTTAGGGCTTTCATGAATAAAGGTACTATGAACATTCATGTACCAGTCTTTGTGCGGATATACATTGAGAATTGATATTTTAATAATGTAATACAGGTGATAGACCCTAACTTTAAAAGTTAACTACCAAAATATCAACCGAATTAAGTCGATCATCTAGGACAGCAGCTCTTTGTAGCTGTCTCAATTCGTTTTTTTAGTTTTTCTTATTATTCCTTTGAGGCAAGATCTTGCTCAGTCACCAGGCTGGAGTGCAGTGGCGCAAGCATGACTCAATGCAGCCTTGACCTGGGCTCCAGCAGTTCTCCTGCCTCGGCTCCCTAGTAGCTGGGACCACAGGCACGTGCCACCACACCTGGCTAATTCTTGAATTTTTTTGTAAAAACGGGGTTTTGCCATGTTGCTCAGGCTGGTCTTGAACTCCTGGGCTCAAGTGATCCACCCACCTCAGCCTCCCAAAGTGCTGGGATTATAAGCATGAGCCACCACACCCGGCCATCTGTTTCAATTTAAATATCTCATCACGCATGACGCTTATTGGAAAGCACTTTAAACTTTAGGCAGCAAACTAGACTTATTACCAGTCTACACATTATGTAAGGTAAAAATTAGCCATATTATTTTAAAATTAAAAATGCATATTTGGCTGGAATCCAAAATGGATACTAAGCCAGATACAAGGGCTCACGACTGTAATCCCAACACTTTGGGAGGCCAAGGCAGGAGGATTCCTTGAGCCCAGGAGTTCAAGACTGCAGACAAGCTATGATCGAACCACTGCACTCCAGCCTGGGCAGCAGGGTGAGATTGTCTCTTAAAAAATTAAAAATATAAAACACAAAACGAATACTAACAAAGATCCAATAATAATTAGCTTTATTTTAAAATGATAATTTTTATGTTAATTACCATAGCACCAACCACCATTACTAATACTATATTAGCGTATAATAACCCTTTGTATATATATATAAGCTCAACACATAATAGGTGCTTAATAAGTACAGAAGAAAAAGAAAATAAATTCACTCTTTGAGGCCCAATGTTAAACAGATTAAGCATGATCTCTTACCAACAAATCCCTTTTATATTTAACCTACTCTCCTGGGCTGTATAGATGAGAAAGGCAGAGGAAACTTCATCTTTTTACCTGCACCTTGGGGGGTGTGTGTGTGTGTGTGTGTGTGTGTGTGGTGAGAGAGAGCCTGTTACCATAAGGAAGGAAAAGTGTCCTGGAAGTATAGATAAGAAGTATATGGCATAGCTAAAGGACTTCAGTGGACTTTTGGGTCCTACTCTACATGAAAGTACAATAGGCCTGCACTGTTTCTGCACATGTACCCGTCAGAGTGAAATGAATTGCATGATCCTAACCTGCTAGTTAACTTCGTTGATCCATTACTTCCCTTCTCTGGTTAGAGGCCTGTTTCCAGCGCCCTGTCCTCATGGTTTCTCTCCTGGGTAGGAAGGACTTGCCAAGGGAGTGTTTCAGACCTTCAGGCTGACAGCTGCTCTGGACAGCTGTGCTCCCTGAGGCAGAACCCTAGCTGCAGCCCCAGCCGGGCAAATCAGAAACAACTGGGTTAAAAATAATCCTGACGAAGTCATTTTGCTGTCACTAATGAGCTCTACAGATAGTCTCCTCCTTAATGATGACATTTTTCCCTTTTGTCCTGTTGAATTTCATCTTTTCTCCTTTTCCGTCTTTCTCTGAATTTCAACTGCTGGTTTTAACTTTGCTTTGCATTTTACTTTGACAAAACAAATATTTCCAATGGACCCTTCACCAGGACCTATACCTCAGACTTGTTTTCAAAATCTCACTGTAAACTGAGGAGACTTTGACATTGTTTGCCCTCAAGAAAATTTTCTGAAGAACATTAAATCCTCCATTAAAAATCTTTATTCTGGCCAGGCACAGTGGCTCACACCTATAATCCCAGCACTTTGGAAGACTGAGGCAGGCGGACCACAAGGTCAGGAGTTTGAGACCAGCCTGGCCAGCATGGTAAAACGCTGTTTGTACTAAAAATACAAAAAATTAGCCGGGCATGGTGGCGTGCACCTGTGATCCCAGCTACTTGGAAGGCTGAGGCAGGAGAATTGCTTGAACCCTGCAAGCAGAGGTTGCAGTGAGCCGAGATTGCACCACTGCACTTCAGCCTGGGCGACAGAGGGAGACTGCATCTCAGAACAAAAAAAAATATTTATTCTGTACACTAGGTGTGATGGCTTATGCCTGTAATTCCAGCACATTAGGAGGCCCAGCAGGGAGGATTGCTTGAGGCCAAGAGTTAGAGGCCAGCCTGGGCAAGAGAGTGAGACCCTGTCTTTACAAGAAAAATCTTTTTTAAAAAATCTTTATTCTGAAATGTAAGTTCTTTATAAAGGAATTAAATGGAGGTAAAGTATATGGATGAGGTATTATTCTCATACATTCATAGTAATCATAAACGTGGGAAGAGAATAACTTCTATGACAACAACTTATAAAAAGCTGCACATAAAGACTTTGTGAGGACCTTAACCAAAGTCACACTTCAGAGGTAAGTTAAGCTATATCTGAACAAATAGAAGGGTTAGTTAATAGTAAAAGTGCCATTAGCTGCCTAACGATTGGGTCTTCAACATGAAATAACTTGCTTGAATGAATTTTTCTCCTTATAATGGACACAATCATAGTGACTTTCAAGCAATTAATTTAGAACTTTGGCATTTCTAAAAAGTACAAATTTTGTTACTATAGCTAAATTATTTTTAACAACTCCTGAGGAAAGTGTGTCTTTAAGTTGTTTTATTGTTGAATATTTACAAAATTATTATGAAAATTACCACTCCTGTTTTTAGTACAGTATTGCTATTACCTTTTCGTGATTTGAGTCTCTAAAGATTCGCTATGTTAATATTATTACCATATATTAGTTTCAATCACAGTGCAAATCTCAGGACAAATCAGCACATTGTACACACTATTTCTTTTGCAAAATGAAAAAGAAATCGAGAGAAGTCAGAAACAGAAAGAATTGGGCTCACAGCATTTAAGATCTGCATAGAAGAAAAGGAGACAGATCCAAAAAATAAATATGCATATTGACCAAGCTGATCTTACAAGGCAGACAGTTATATCAGAGAAAGGGATAGCTACCAGTCTCATTACTCAGATTTGCTCTAAAAGGAAAGCCAATGCAACCACCCATGAGGAGACTGCCTCTTTACCTGTCCATAGCGGTGTGCAGACTGTCCTTCTTGGCTCCCTGAAAGTGTCAGGCCAGAAAAATCTTGCCTCAATTAATGATGCTTCTCTGCCTCTGTCTGACAGTGCATTGGCCCTTCACATTCAAATTTGAGCTTGCTTTCTGGGCTCCTCCCCTGGCAGCATCACCCCCACCAGGTACCCCAACGGCCTTGCTCCTGATTTGGATCCAGTGAAGATGGGTGGGGCTGTCATAGGCAGAGTCACATGGGTTACATGATTGAGGGCAGCTCTGCTTGCTAAAGTTCTTTTAGGGCCCCTGCTCTGAAAGTGCAGTCCATGCTCCATAGCTAGCAAAGATCAGGAGACAGTAACAGTAGACTCTTAAATTATAATCATGATAACACAAAATATCTTTAAAAGCACAGTGAGAATAGCAATATTTATGTAAATAGCATTAAAGATCATTTAACTAGCTTCTTGTGGTGGTGTGTCAAAGAGCACTTAAAAAGCCTCTATTTCCCCATATTCCCACAATATCTCTGAATCTCAGTAGATACAGACACTAACCGTTCTTACTTTGCAGTTAAGCAAATGAACTTAATTATACAGAATTTAGAACGCAAAAATTTTACCTCCTAAACCATGGATTTTTTTCTTTCTGATTGCATTACAAGAATTGCTTGAAGACTAGATATTTACACCAAAGAGTGATTTTTGCATAAGCCATCTTTTTTAGAAAAAACTCCTTAATTTGGAGTCAGAATCAGCAGCGGTCCTCCAAAATACAAAAATGCTTATTTCACCAGACAGAATCAGTGTCTAATTGACTGCACTGAATTTGGAAAATAGGTTAAGATCCTCAAATAAAAGACTTTAATTTTGTGCTCTTATAGAACTTGGTCTACTAAATATTGTATTTCTCTCTCCTACTGTAGACCATATGCATTCTATTTATTCACTCAGTAGACACTTCATGCCTACTGTGTAATGGAAACTATGCCAAGCACTAGGGATGCAATGGTGAGCAATGAAGCTAGGGTCCCTGTTCCCTTCCTGCCTCAAGGTTTCGATAGCATCTATACCCTGATAATTCCCAAATCAATAGCCCTAGCTTGGACCATCTATTTGTCTGTTCTTACACTGCTAATAAAGACATGCCTGAGCCAGGGTAATTTATAAAGGAAAGAGGTTTAATTGACTCACAGTTCCACATGGCTGGGGAGGCCTCACAATCATGGTGGAAAAGCAAGGGACATCTTACATGGTGGCAGGCAAGAGAGAGCTCATGCAGGGGAATTCTCCTTAATAAAACCATCAGATCTTAGGAGATTTGTTCATAAGAACAGCATGGGAAAGACCCACTTCCCATGATTCAACTACCTTCCACTGGGTCCCTCCCATGACGTGGGAATTGTGAAGGAGCTACAATTCAAGATGAGATTTGGGTAGGGACACAGTCGAACGTATCAGACCTCTTCCTTAAACTCATGACAAGTGTGTCCAGCTTCCCTCTCGGAATCTCCATTTGGATGTCTGAGCATCTCAAACATGTCTAAAACAGAGACCCTGTTCTCTGCCTTACCTGCTCCTCTTGCCATCTTCCCCAACTCAATAAACAGCAGTATTCTTTTAATTGCTTGGCAAAACCTGGGCAGAGTGTCTCTCAACTCCTCTCTTTCTTTTTGAATTCCATGCACACTCCATTAACAAATCCTGTTGTCTCTGCTTCCAGAATATATCCACAAACTGACCACTCCTCACTGCCTGCAAGTCAAGCAACCTGGGTTATTGCATTTTACCTCCCAGCTGGCCTTCCTGCCTTCCCCTTCTTCGATTACAATCTGTTCTCCACACAGCAACTAGAGTATTCATTACGGAACATTTAAGGTCATGTCACTCCCCTGTCATAACCCTCCATGGCTTCCCATTCTCTCAGTATAGGCCAGCAGCCTGAGATGGCTCACAAGCCCTGCTCCCATCTGCCCTGCTTCACCCCCTGACTGCATCTCCCTCCATTCTGTCCCTTGCCCATGGAAAGAGCACACGCTCCTGCCTCTGCCTTTGAGGGTCCCTCTGCTGAAATGTTCTTTTCTTGTGTATGGTTGTGGCTTACACCATCATGTATTTTATGTCTTATTCAAACACTCTGTAGTATTTGAGACTTGTCCTAGTCACCATATCTAAAATGTCAACAAAATCTCACCATTCTGACACTCTTGCCTCCAGCCCCTAAATTAGTTTTCTCTTTAGCACTTATCACTTAAAATACGCTCTCAAGTAAAGACAAGTAAAATAGTCTGTCTAAATTACTATTTTTTGATTAGCCATGAGATTCAAAATAATAATTATAATTATTTCTAATAATTATATGATAATTATTATTTTGAGGCAGGGTCTCTCTCTGTCACCCAGGCTGGAGTACAGTGGCGTGAACATGGCTGACTGCAGGCCTTGACCTCCTGGGCTCAAGCGACACCCCGGCCTCAGCCTCCCAAGTAGCTGAGACTACAGGTGCGTGCCACCATACCCAGCTCATTTTTGTATGTTTTGCTAGGGATGGGGCCTTGCCATGTTGACCAAGTTGGTCTCGAACTCCTGGGCTCAAGTGATCTGCCCGCCTCAGCCTTCCAAAGTGCTGGGATTACAGGCATGAGCCACTGCACCTGGACTTGTCTAAATTATTATTGCTGAGAAAATTCCTCAGGGCACCAGAAAGATCATAAACAGTAGTTGCCTTGGCACTCTGTTTTCTAGGACGGAGCAGAATGGAGACTCCAAAGTCATCTGCAGTGTCCACCGGAAGGTGCAGGCATTTGAAATCTCATCCCTTTAAGTTGTATCCTGAGATGTGAGTTGGGCTTTTATCATATTTTCACCTATTTTTCAAAAGAATAACACACAGGTACACACAATTGGGTTGTTTTGTCATTTTATATAAAAAGGGCATATATTTAAGGTGCACAACATGGTGTTTTGATATCCGTAATGAGATGGTCACTACAGCCAAGTTAATTAATTCACCAGTCTCCTCACATAGTAACCTTGTATGTGTATGTGTGTATGGTGACTGCACCTGAAATCTACTGTCTTTGAAAATTTCCAGCACACAATTTTTTATTTTTTGAGACAGAGTCTCGCTCTGTTGCCCAGGCTGGAGTGCAGCGACATGAGCTTGGCTCACTGCAGCGTTGACCTCCTGGGCTCAAACAAGCCTCCCACCTCAGCCTCCCAAGTAGCTGGGACCACATGGCACACCACCACACCTAGCTAATTTTTGTTTAGGTTTTTGTACGTGCAGGGCCTCACTATGTTGCTCAGCTGGGTGCTAAACTCCTCAGCTCAGTCAAGCCACCCATCTCAGCCAAAGGGCTGTGATTACAGGTGTGAGCCACTGCGCCTGGCCCAATACTACATATATACATATATATATATATATATACACTCTGTCTCAAAAAAAAATATATATATATACGGTTTTTGTTTTTTTTTTTTTTTTGAGGCAGAGTTTCACTCTGTCGCCCAGGCTGGAGTGCAGTGGCGTGATCTCGACTCACTGCAAACTCCACCTCCCAGGTTCAAGCGATTTTGCTGCCTCAGCCTCCTGAATAGCTGGAACTGTAGGCACATGCCACCACACCCAGCTAATTTTGTATTTTTACTAGAGACAGGGTTTCACCATGTTGGCCAGGCTGGAATACTTTTTAACTATAGTCATCATGCTGTATAATAGATCCCTAGATTTATTAATCCTGTAAAACTGCAACTTTGTACTGTTTGACCAACATCTTCCCATTTTCACTGCTTCCTCATGCCTGGTAACCACCATTTTACTTTCTTTTTTTGAGATGGAGTCTCACTCTGACACCCAGGCTGGAGTGCAGTGGCATGATCTCAGCTCACTGCAACCTCTGCCTCCTGGGCTCAAGCGATTCTTCTGCCTCAGCCTCTCAAGTAGCTGGAATTCCAAGCATGCGCCACCATGCCCAGCTAATTTTTGTGTTTTTAGTAGTGACGGGGTTTCCTCATGTTAACCAGGCTGGTCTCGAACTCCTGGCCTCAAGTGATTCACCCACCTCAGCCTCCCAAAGTGCTGAGATTACAGGCATGAGCCACTGTGCCTGGCCCGGCATTTTACTTTCTGCTTCTATATATTAAATTTTGTAAGTGAAATTATGCAGTATTTTTCTTTCTGTGTCTGACTTATTTCACTAAGCATAATGTCCTCCAGATTTATCCATGTTGTTGCAAATGGCAAGATCTCCTTTTTTAAGGAGGAAGAATGTTCTTATTCTGTTATATATATACCACATTTTCTTGATCCATTCATCTGTCGACAGACACTTAATTTGTTTCCATATCTTGGCTATTGCGAATACTGCAGCAGTGAATGCGAGAGAGAGCTCTTCAAGGCACCAATTTCATTTTCTCTGGGTATATACCCAGAAGAGGGATTGCTCAATTTGGTAGTTCTGTATTAAAATTTTTGAGAATCATATGTTAGTTCTATTTTTAGTTTTTTTGAGAAAACTCCATACTGTTCTCTATCACGTCTGTGCCAATTTACCTTCCTACCAACAGTGTACCAAGGTTCCTTTTTCTCCACATTCTCCCCAACATTTGTTTTCTTTTGTCTTTCTGATAATAGCCATCCTAACAGGTGTGAGAGTCTGAGGTAGGAAAAGATCAAAATGTAAAATGTGAAACCAAAAGTATGTAATAGGAAAAACTGACTATTTTTCTTCCACATTCACACACCACTCAGCACAACCCTTCTGACACCAGATGTGTGCTGGTCTTTTCCCATACACCAAGCAGTTTTCCAGTGGACACCAACTGGATGTTCTATAACTTAATTCAATTCTGGCACTATTTACCGGTAGATAGCATCAGACCTCGCAGATTGTGGGTCAGTTCCACAAGCTGGTCCCCACTTCAGATGCCAATCTCAAATTCCAGGTTGTGACCTGTACTTCTGACCAACTGGCTTAGGGGTTCCTACACGTGTTAGGTTCCATTAATTTGCTAAGCTGTCTTAACAAACTCGGGGAAACAATTACTTAACTTTTACCAGTTTATTATGCTAATGAAGGATATAATAAAGCATACAGTTCAGGAGCGGTGGCTCACACCTGTAATCC